GAGAGGAACAGGAACACCCGGATGCAGCCGTAGAAGCGCGCCCGGAGCGCCGTGCTCTCCCCCGGGGCCGCGTCCGAGTCCGTCCGCCCCGCCGCAACCCTGCGGCGCGCGGCGGCGGCGACGGCCAGCGCGGCGGACGCCGCCCCCGTGAGCCGCCCCGCCGCGCGGTGCGCCCGGAGGAGCAGCACCCACGTGATCTGCCGCGCGTTCTTGCCCCGCCCGGCTTTGCCCCCGCCGGGGCCCGCCGGCGAGCCCGGCGCCGCCACCTCCGACGCGGCGACCTCGGAGATGGACCAGTTCGGGTTCTCCATCCTCACCACCACGGGCGTGCCGCCGCCGCCGATGCCGCTAACGCCATTGGCCCTCGCGTCCCTCCCCCACCACGACGGCGCCATTGGCACGCACTGACACCACCACCTCTCTGTTGTCACACGCACGCACACACGGAGAACCAACCCTCGCAGCGACGACCCGGGCTCTCTCTCCTCCTCCTCGTCGCCCTCCTCCCTCACCTTAATCACCTACTCATCAAGCACGGCCTTAATAGCCGGAAGAGAAGCACCACCGCGGCAGGCCAGCCAGCATAATGCCGCGGGCACGCACAGGCAGAGACCAGAGATAGAGAGAGGGAGAGCGCGGAAGAACAGCTCACCACGTCGGTCGAGCAGGCGAGCTCGCCCCGCTTTATTTATTCGCGGCCTGCCCTGCCCCCCTCCCTCTGTGTCTCCCGTCTCTCACCACCGTCGCCGTCGACTAAAAATTAAAAAAAAAACGCCCTTTTGACGCCCCCGCCCCGCCCGAGACGAGACACCACAGCGTAAAACCGAGTGGAGTGGTTAAAAGCCGCGGGCCGCGGCTGGCTGGCCGTGAGAACGAGAACACGGAACACTACTAGCAGGTGGATGGGGTGGGTGGAGCCGGGGAGGGAGGGGACGCTTCGCCGCGGCTTCTGATTGGATCGGATCGGCGGGTGGAACTGGAAGAAGCGGCTGGGTTTTAACCGTGCGGGTGAGGCCGGGGTTATTATTAACTTCCGTTCGGTTCGGCCGCGTCACCGCGTGTGGGCGTGCCGCCGAGTGGGCTCGCACGACGCTCTATTCGTTGCGTGCGGTTGCGGCCTGGCGCTGTCGGTGGCTGCCGGGCCGGCCGTCCGCTCTGGCTCGCAGTCCTCGCACGAATTATCCGTCCGTCTCCGTCCCGCGTCAGCAACTCACTGCTACTGCAGGCTGTAGCCTACTAGGACTACTCTCCTACCCCATGAAACCAGTCAGGTCAGAACCAAACTAAAATCCACAGTACTTACTATCCACCCATGCATCTGATCGGATCGGAAGCCTACGGCGATCAAGCAACGCATTAGCCCTCGGCACAGCACTGGTTGATTGACAGCGGAACAGGTATGGATCGCTCTGCCTGCGCGCATCATGTCAGCACACAGGAGCGAGGGTCGGAGAGGACAAGCGGAAGACACTAACCCTTTACATGGTTCGGCTTGAACCCGGCCCAACCCAGGAACCAGACCATAGTAGACCGTACTGAGAGGTCACGTACGGGCTGGTTTGTATCGGGTCCAAACCGCTCTACCCATCGATTCATCTTCTTTTTGCCGTCGACGCCGCCGCATGCTCCGAACGCCTCATCCTAGCTTCTTCATCCTACGCCTCACGCTCCGTGGTTCCGCAAGCGCCGGGAAGCAATTGGGTGGATTTAGCACCATGGCCACCACCACGGCCTCCGCCACATCACGCCAACGAGCGGGTGCGAAAACAACATGCGACACGGCCACCGGCGCGGAGCGCCCCCTGCTGACGGCCTACGACGACACCGGAACGCGAGCCTTCTCCTCCCGCATAGCGCCCAGCTCAGCGAGACTCTGAGGAGTGAGCAGCTCTCCTCCCTTGGAGAGCTTCATCAGACCGTGCAACTAACCGCGGGGCCTCGCTCCGCGGTCGCCGTCGACCTCGCTGTGGGTGCTCGCTCCGCGGTCACCGACGACCTCGCAGCAGTGCTCGCTCGGCGGTCACCGGCGACCTCGCTGTGGGTGCTCGCTCCACGATCGCTGCCAACCTCGCCGCAGAGCGTGATCGCCATGGCTGGCTGGCTTCTTGCTTGCTTGTGGGCTAGTACATTCTTCCCAGCCCGTGGAAACCGTTTAACCGCGGGTTTCAAACCGCTGAAACCAGTGTCTCAACGGATTGGGTTGGTTTTTGCCCAAAGACCGCATAAACCGGACCATGTACAGGCTGAGAAGACACAGCGTTGCGATTCCGACAAGCTGCCTGTTTTGGTTGCGTTAACAATGTCCATGATTACGGGACAGGGGGGGCGTAGCGTACCTCGGCGCTCGAATCTGGACGCCCGGGACAAATTTGGTAGGAAGTAGGAGTATCTACGTACTCCTACAGGAGATGGCAGCCTGGGAGATCTCCGATGAGATTTCGGTGAGCAGACCTACCTATTCGCACCGAAATATCTCGCGTATTTATTTACTTTGCTCGACCCCGGTACATCCTTTTTACAGTATCTGGCATGCTGAATTGAAGTGGTTTTAGTTGTAAACGGCGAGACAGTTGTGCACGAACGAACGAACGAACGAACGAAGTCATCATTGGCCAAGAAGCACCGGAGACAGCATGATGTAGTACGCCACTAACTAATAATACAAGGCAGAGGTGTTTGATTCCTCCTTCTAAATTTTAGTCGCTGTCCATCGGATGTTTGGACACATACATGGAGTATTAAATATAGACTAATTATAAAACTAATTGCACAGTTTGCGACTAATTTGCGAGACGAATCTTTTAAGTCTAATTAGTCCATGATTTGATAATGTGATGCTACAGTAAACATAGGCTAATGATTAGTTAATTAGACTTAATAAATTTATCTCGTGGAGTACCGATAAATTCTGTAATTTGTTTTTTTATTAGTATCTTAATACCTCAGTCAACGTCCTAGATTTTAGTCACCGAATCTCAGCACCCTCTCACGTGGACGACGATGAGGAGGGGTGATTATTGTGGGACAGGATATGAACAGCAGCATCTGAAGATCCCAATCGTGCAGGTGCAGTGCATAGCCCATCATGCAGACAGACGACAGATCGATGCGGGACGTGCGCATGTTTAATGCGGCAGCGCTACCTTGCTTGCGATGCATGGCCTGCGCTGCTGCACCCGCGGGGGCCAGCACCCAGCACGGCCAGCTTGTGCAGCTGCCAGCCACCGAGAGCGCTCTCGTTACCGTGCTGCTGTGCCTGTGCACGCACGCCTTTTGGTCTTTTGGGTTGTTCTTGCCTTCTTGGTTGCCTGCTTGGTTCAATGGAATGGAGGAAGGAACCGGCTCCCTCCAGTGTCCAGCTGGTCGTTTCCCAGTGCCAGCTCCTGGTTTCCATTTCGGCAGCCGCTCTGCTCTGCAATTTTCCTAAGCAGGGTGCACAGCTTAAACCGAGTTGACTCTTCTCTGTACAGCAGGAATTGCATTACAGAGGCCGTCTCCAAGAGCAGACCTACTGCGAAACCCAAATTCAAATTAGATCTTTAACATAATATCTATAACATCCAACAGAGTACTTATATGAAAAACCTATTTTAGGTGTTAGGAGAGACATAACCTAAATCTGAATATCCTCTCTCCTGGAGATCCATTTGCAGAAAGAGTTGTCTTTTGGATTCTGTTGTTGGAGAAGACAAAAATAGGTATTGAACCCTTTACATATAGCGTTACCCAAACGATGAATAATAAGTCTTGTATTTTAGATCGCGGCCGCAGGAGACAGTCTGAAAGAGCACACATTCACCGCTGACAGTTTCTCTGTCACAAGTCAGGACGAGGTGCTATATTACTTTTGTGTAGTCTAGGAACTGAAAACCGATCAGCAGAGAGGGACACGTGTGAGTGAAAAAACGCGGCACGCGACGACGACGGTGCCAATGCCAACCGCCAAGAAACAGAAGGCACTTCTTGGTGTCATCTTGAACTCCGGAGTTTTCAGATCTCGATGATGGACCATTTGCAAGAGAGATTGATCTGAAAACGAATCTATCACACCGCTACTGAGCTAATTGCACTTCGTGGACAGATTCCGTGGATCATGCTCGCAAGCTAGGTTAGGTTAGCAGCGCGTCAATGCAATCACACTTATTATATATTATCAATGTGAAGAGTATTTTCCCGAGCCTTAAACGGTAACAGTCGTTTAGCTATTACTCAGATAGCAATTTGAATAGGTGGAACAGTCAATTAAACATAACTGATTTTTTTATTAAACGAAAATGGCATTACTACTACCGTGCAACATTTACGCGGTGTTTAAACAGACGAAACGACCATTTGGGTTAACAATACTATTCGACCTAGAAAAGAAATGCATTGGCGTATGGAAGACTTTGGAGAGCAGTGGCAATCAGTTTGACTACACATATATATACCTGAACAAAGATTAATTCTTCTAATGATGACATACTTACTTATATATAGTAGTACTCCAGTTAACAATTATACTAGTAATAAGGTGGTCTTGGGAGGAGTTTCATGCGCGGCACTAAGCGCTACTTGTAGTTGGAGGTCAGAGGCTCAGAGCCCGGCCTCTCGAGGAGAGGCTCACACCTGGCGCCTGTCGGTGCTTTCCTTTCCTCTGTTCACCGCCGGCGCCGGCAGGTCGAAGAAAAAGGCCGCGTCTTCCTCTGCCGCTGTGATCGTGGCGAGCACATTTGGAGGCCAGCCAGTGACGAGGTCGCCTGCGGATGATTGGGCTTGGGCGGCCAGCCAATACAACAAGTCGTCTTCTCTTCGGGTTTGTTCGGCAGGACTGAAAAATAAGTTAAAATACTGTTCGGAATGATTGTTGCGAGAGGAAAATACTGTCAAAAAAACACTGTTCACGTGAACCGTGCCTGTGTGGGTGCGCTGGCCAGGCCAGCCCCAGCCGAACGCAGCAGATCTCTTGTTGCATTTGGGAAGAAAGTCAGGGGGGTAAAGATAAAACAAATAAGCAGGGCATGCAAAAGGGCCAAAGGGAAGCGACCGACGACGTCGTCAGGGTTCAGGGATCGGAAGCCAGGTTGAGTTCAGAGACCTTCCGTGACTGCAACGCATGCACGTGAGCGAAAAGGCTCTGGCTGATCTGTTCTGACTTTGTAGTTTGCACCGCGCTCGGTTGATCGATCTCGAGACGACGACAGACTGGGGGACGTTCTTACTGCACCTGGAATGAGTGAAGATGGAGCAAGCGATGCAGTGCTCCATGGAGATGCTGACTGCTGAGACGTCAGAAAATTCAAAAGCGTCCCTCCTCTTCCTCTTCTTCTTCTTCTTTTTTTGGTTTTACAAAAAAAAATATATACCTTGGACCTATCATGTCGATGTAGTGCTCCATGGAAAATTGGGGGCTGAGACCACTTGAATCAGATCCGAGGGGCCGGGACCATGAGACCTTGGAACAACCCGTGTTCTCCCCTAGATAGCCCATAGGGCTCCTCCAAGGAACCACTGGCCACGTCGCTTCCAATACGTTCTGCCGTTGGATCTTACATCCTGCAGCTCAGATTATTACCCCGTAGGGCTCCTCCAAGGAACCACTGGCTACGTCGCCTCCAATACATTCTGCCGTTGGATCTTACATCCTGCAGCTCAGATTATTTGAACCCGATTCTCGTCCGCAGCAGCTTCTCCTCGTTCTCACTAGCTTGTTCGTCTTCTCCACTGCTTCTCCTCAGCTTTTCCGGCTTCTCGTCCGAATCTAGAGAGACAAATATATACTACTCAGTTTCCGCTTCTGCTTCCAGATTCTTCTCTCAGCTTCCTCGCTCCCTCACCCGTCGGTCTCTCCCTCTCCCTCTCGATCCCCACGCGGACAGGACGGCGACGGCTGGCACGGCGGCTGCGGCCGGCTTCCTCCTCCTCCTCCTGCTCTCCCCCTCGCGTCGCGCCGTGCCGGCCGTGCCCGCGCCGCCGGCTCACGGCGCGAGGCGCTGCCGGGGCGCGACGGCGCCCCAAAGCTGCGGGGTGCGGCACCGCCCGTGGGCGCCGGTGGTGCCCGTCCGTGGCCACGGCGCGGCGCGATTGGGCCCGTTGGTGGCCGCCGGCGTGGCTGCCCCCCGGCGATGCCTCCTCCCTATGCTCCGCATGTGCTCATGTGCTACCGGAAACCCTAGCTGCCTGTGCTGGACGTCGCGACCGCCCAGCGCCGACCCCACCCCCGGCGGTGGTGCCCTGCTCTCGCATGGAGACGCTCGTCGGCGCCAGCAGCGATGGCTGCGTGGACGACGAGGTAAACTCCCAGCTCTCCTCTCTCTTGCCCTCACTCTCTATCTTGATGAACCTCATATCTCGCAGCATAGACCTTGTTTGTGCAAATATGACTCTAAACTGGCCCAGGGAAAAAGGTTCTGGGAGTTTGGCTCTGCCAAATATGCCTCCATTTGTTTTAGCACGAGTTAATACATGATTTCATTTATTCTGCCTGATCTATGCGAGTGTTTTTAATGCCTGATCTATGTGACTGTTTTTGATGTGTGGACAGGTTGTGCTAAATCTCCTTTCTTTGGAAAGCAATGGGGTTGCAGGTATACATATATTTTAGTCTTGCTAGAATATGTCCACTGATTGCTGCATGTTAACTATCTATTGCATTTTTTTGGGGATTTTTATACTATACACACTACTAACGAGCTTGCCATGTGAAGAAAGTTGTTAAATATCTGTTCTTCTTATCGCTTATTTCTAAAATTTTATGCCATGAATGTAAGTGTGCTTCCCCAGTTTCCTGTAAGTATCTATGATTAAAAAAAGTCACCCTCTATGTCTGCAGCCACATTATGCTTTATCTGAAACCTTCCTCCTCCCATGTCAGGTTCATGCTACTGGCATTTTTATCCTAAAATATTTGTCCATTGTTGTGCATTGTATGTGGATCAAAGTAGTGATTAATGCCTCCATGTGGATCCTAGGTCCTTAGCTTTGAGTTTCCAGAGAAGATAAGTGCTTGTATGTTAGACCAATATAAATGGATGCATTGCCATGTAATGTTCAGAGGATACATTTTCAAACAACACTGAATTGTTTTCTTGCTGCAGGGTCCCTTTTTCAGAAAAGTGTTGGTTCAAAAGATGGCCAGAGCAAGATATATAAAGATGAATGTACCTTTCTTTTTTTTTCCCTACCTGCTTTGAAGTTGAGGTGCACTATTTTTTAATGTACAAGAGGTGCACTGATATGTGTTGTTTAGTCCATCCCTCCAGGATTTTATCCATCTGTTCATGACTAATGGGTTCTTGATTGTGTGCAGAGACAGTGACATTGCGGTTGTGGACAGATTTCAACAAGAGCACAACCGGTCCACCGAGCAACAAGATGATGAGCCTTATCAAGGTTAGTCTTTATTTGTTGGTTATCCCATTTGTTTAACCTTCTCATGAATTTGAGTGTCATGATTCAGTTAGTTCAAAATGAACTGATTACCTTCTGAGCCAGGTTAAGAAATATTTCTATAATTTCTAGATTGGTGCCTACCAATCTCCACTGTTGGTATGATTGTTTTGAGATCGACATACTTCAATATTGCTCAGAGTTTCCTGAATACCCGTCGCCTTATAAAGTTAAAAATGTCCCTACAAATCTCATTGCATTCTTTTTTTTTGGTACATGGTTATCTCAGACTTATATTGATTTATACGACTATTTCTTATGGGAAAATGGTTTTAGATTGTGGCCTCACTGATCTCTATTTTGCTACAGGTTCATGGGAGATACTCTTTTTAGTTCCAGTAACTGAGGTATGCACCCGTTTGAGCTTTAGCTCTGATAACCTACCTGTGCCAATTAATTAATTCTTCCCTACAATAGCCGTGGGCTTCCAGTGAGGAAGCCGTGTCCACGTCGCCCAAGAATCCCTGGCCCGTCCAATCTTCCATCGACTGGCTGTTAGTTACCTATTTGTATGTGTGCCTTTCCCCATTGGAACATTGTATCAGGTTTCCATGTTGATCATATGCATATAGAATTAGTTGCTATTCCCTCTCAGATTTCGCGGCGCATTGTTCCATAGACCTCTTCATACTCATGTTTGCTTTATATTGCAGTGACTTCTTGCTGGGTTCACTTTTCAGCCTCCATATGTACAGCGCCGATGCAGCCAGCTACCTTCGTAAGTTCTCCTATTCCTTCTGGTTTCTCCACATCCCAAATTACACTTTTACCTGCTTTAACCACAGCCTTTAAATACCTTTGACTGATTTGTGTGGCCAGTGTTTGGTGGTCTACATTGTTTGTTGCCTATTTTTGTCGTTCCTCACCTTAGATGAATACTCTGTCAATAGAAACATATTTTGCTGGTCTTCTCCAACCAGCTCAATTTATTGCCTGTTTTTACAAAATTTAAATTCCCTCTTTACTGGCCTTGTGCCTAATACGAATACTCTGTTCAAAGACGCATATCCTGCTGCCCTTCTCCATCCAGCTCAGCTTGTTGCCTGTTTTTATAATGATTATAATTGACTCTTTAGTGTTCTTTGCATCCAATGTACTGTTCGTCGTCTATGGCCCTTACAGCTTCCTGTGTGGTTCCTGGTTATGGAAACATATGTGCATTCTGCGCATTGATTTTGCACAAATCCAGTCACCCTGCCCTGTTCTCTGTGTCCTCAGTATGCAGACAGGGTTCCTGTTTAGCCAATTATATGCGCTGAATCCTTACTGTATTTTCTCTGTACATGGTACCTGTATGCTGCCTCTGTTTTCCAATTTTTTTTTTTTGTTACCATACTCTTGCCTCCGTTACTAAGTGTGATGTTATTCTCCTTGAATGTAGAGGCTACACGTGCATGGTACCTGTATGCTGCCTCTGTTTTCCAATTTTTTTTTCGTTACCATACTCTTGCCTCCGTTACTAAGTGTGATGTTATTCTCCTTGAATGTAGAGGCTACACGTGCACATGCAGGTGTTGGCTTTCAAAAAAATTAAGATCTGCCCCATTTTTAGATGGATGAAAATATAGAAGCATTTATGTCGGAAGATGTTTGTTTCTGTGTTTCTGATTTTTTTTCCTTGTATTATCTCTGATTGAACTCAACACATTTACTATATATGTCTATGTACGCTTCTCTATGCATTTGACACTAATTAGCAGCCTAGAATGTCCCTAAGTTTGCACACTAGATTTTGTACCTATTTCTGGACAATATATATAGTTGCCTACGATTTTAGGTGTAGCATTGCCCAGCTCCTCTGCTGCTTATCACATGATGACTCAGCTAACTTTGTTGGCTGTTACAACCTAAGAAAAATGCCTCCAGTGCAGCAGCATAAAACACAGCTAAAAAAACGTACACCCTTTTCTTTCCTATAATGCCAGTGTCATCCACTTTCATGTGCATTTAGTGCATCGGCCTAGGATGGAAGTATGGGACAAGATGAAAAAACAATGTTATAAGCAGGGCCAAAAAAATTTCGTATATAGTGGGGTACTTCTTCGCCTATCACTGCACCCTGGACATACTATATGTCAAACTAGATGAAAAGAATGTCTGCAGTATATGTTGAACCAAAACAATGCCATCAGTAGAACAAGATGCAAGAATGGCATCACTATATGTCGACCTAAAAGCTTACGGCAACCCTGGTCTAATTCTATGGCGGGCCACTTATTTGCTTGATTATTAATTGCTTCTGGTTTCTACATTTCTTTTATTTGGCCTTCCAAAGTTACTTGGGCTTTCGATTTTTTCGTTCAGAAATTCCTGCAGATTCTAGGTTTGTTGTCGTTAGTTCAAGGTTTCTAGAACTTGCAGCTTCATGAATAACCCCTTATTATTGGTGCAGTTAATCTACAGCCTGCTCAAATATAAAGGCCGCGCCTAATAATTTTATAAGGACAGAACTATACAGATATGAATCGTAGTCTACATAAAAGGAAAATATATACCTAACCTAACAAGAATGCGTACATATTTATCTCCTGTGATTTACTGAATCCTTTGCAAATTTGTAGTTGTTCCGGTGCAGCTGGTAATTATAATTTGTAGGGATTACATGCTTTAGTTCACATAATGGTTTGTTTTCTTCGCATTAAATTCCAGTTAAATTTATGGCTGCTACTTCATAGTTTTGATCAACTGAATTTTTACTTAAAGTGCAGCCATGAGTCCTCTTTGCTTCATATTTGAGATTAACCTTTGTTTCTTTGTTTTAAAAATGGCAGGGTGTATGGACCTATTTCTGTCAATTGTTGCTTTTTAAATGTATCAGGTAATACAAGGTACCTATACTTGCTTTTTCAATATTCCTTTTCCAGCACTTCTCTCCAAAGTAGGGATCCAAATGATATTCAGTGCTGCAACTTCATATGGGTCAGCCTACATAGGATTCATGGCATTTGGTTGCTGTACTGTTCGAACCACAAAAGTAGGGACCCAAATGATATTCATTGCTGCAACTTGATATGGGTCAGTCCGAAATATACCTACTGCAGGATTCGTCGCTGGACGTCTTGAACGACGATGAACATGGTTGGGAATCCGACCGCAGCTGGAAGTTCTGATCATCCTTGCATCTATGTTGAAGCCCAACAGAGGCCGAAGCCGACTGGCTCCTAACCTTGTATAATATTTCGGCTCAACACTCAGATGCTTTTGTACACTGCATCTCACAGAGCCTAGACTCCACATCCTATAATCTTGTATAATAGTACTACCTAGCGCTCTGTAATGCTTTTATATCGGCACTTAGACTTCCCATGTAGCAAACCTGGTAACCATCGCTACAACATGTAACATTCTGTATATTATAATTATTGCTTCCTGCAGTGTACTTGAATCTATCAAGACTATCATGCTTGCCATCATTACAGCTAATATTACATATTATTATTGTCACCACCATGGCCTCGTTCGGTTCGCTGAAAAAACAAGCTAAAATACTGTTTCGGGAGATAAAAATACTGTTTCGGCTAAAAATTCAAGCTGAAAAAGACGGATTATAAGAGAAGCGAACAGGGCCATGAGGCAATCTGGATCGTTTACTCTCGCGCGCAGGGGCGTGCGCTATCCACTAGTTTCAGATAATATACGACGAGAGCGCATGCCCCCGTTGCAAATTCGCGAAAGCGCTATTTTTTGACTGTCAGTGACACAGTTGGACTTGGACCTCATATGTATAGAGATTAATTAGAGATCCTTCTTGGAAAAAAGATTAATTAGAGATCAATAGACGCACTTTGTGACGCCAGCATCCATTGCCGTCACACTGACACATTCACATCGTGACAACTGCTGAGCTAGAGACGATTGGGCCCATCACAGGCTTGTTTCCTTCATGCCAATCACAGCGAGAAAATGGGCCTTCCATGAATTCCATGCCCATCAGGTGATGCTTTTGTGCTGTTTCATTTCCTGTTTTTTTAGAAAAAGAGGTTTCCCCCACTTTACTGATGATAAAGCGTCAACAAAGCGTTTACAGCATAGAAGTACAGGCGCGCCCGCCACAAAAGAAACGACCTAAAGGTTCGCACGATCCCACCCGATCGGATCACACAAAGCAGGTTCTAAACTACTGAAGTCAGAACTCAGCTGAATCACATCGCTTGAGCCCAAAACCGAAAGCTGAGATCCCAATGTTGGTCGACTGGATTGATGCCAGCAAATTCTTGGCGGCTGGGACGCTTCCATCTCCATCTGGCAGATGATCTGCTCCAACTTCGCCTCTTGTACGCCAGAGAACAGCGGCTTCCATCTTCTCAACGTCTTGGAGATCCACAGCAACAGCTCCTTCAAACCTGTCCACACACCTCCCTGAAAACAGATTTGGTTACGAAGTTTCCACAGGCACCATAAGGTAGCAGCTAGGACAGCATTAGTAACCAGATGCTTTTTATTTGCAATCCACAGGGAGGCCATAAATTCATATGACCAATTTCCATTCAACTCTAGACAATCATGTAGAAAGCTCCAAAGAACTTTAGTAACACAGCACTCAAAAAACAGGTGATTGATAGATTCTGGTTCAGCACAGAACAAACAAGTTTTATCCTCAGACATGTCTCCTTTTGGCTAAGTTGTCCCTAGTGAGCAACCTATTCTTAGACAACAACCACAAAAAAAATCTGCACCCTAGGTGGGACAGTCAACTTCCAGACTGTATGTACATACACAGGTTTCACTCCATGATTATTGATTACAGCATACAGTGATTGAACAGAGAATTTCCCATTTGAGCTGAAGCTCCAAATAATTTGGTCAGATTCATCATTCAGAGTTACTTCTTCCATAATCTCTACTAATTCAAACCGTTCATAATGTTCTCAGAGACAGTTCTAGTAAAGGTAAGCATTAGATTCTCACCATCCCAGACTTGGTGTATGGTTTTTCCCTGCATGGCTAAGCTTGAGTTCCCGAACCAATGGTCCTCCCAAAACCTCACTTTTTTCCCATTCCCAACCTTCCATAAGATACCCATATGAGCTGCCTGCAAGGCCCAGGTCACACCCCTCCAAAAATGAGACAGTTGGTTATCCCCCAGGCAGCAAATATTGGGTTTATCAGTTCTATACTTAAAATCAGTAATTCTCCTCCAGATAGTATCATTATTAAGCCCATATCTAAAGATCCAGGAGCTAAGGAGAGAAAGATTTAGATTTCTCAAATCAGGGATGCCTAGACCACCTAATTCTTTCTTCTGGGCAACCAACTGCCAGTGCGCAAGATGGTATTTATGTTTATCTTCATTGTTGTTCCACAAGAAGCGTCCCATATGGGAGTTAATCATATCAATCGCCCACCTTGGGAACTTAATGATGGACATCAGATAGATCAGAATGCTAGCTATACAGGCTTTCAACAGAGTCAACCGTCCTGCATAGGACAAGAGCCTACCTTTCCAGCCCGCAATAAGTTTGATAATCTTATCAATGATTTGTTGAAGGTCCTCTCTTCTCAATTTTGAATAGTGTAAAGGTACGCCTAGATACTTAATAGGGAAGTCACCAGTCTTGCAACAGAAGATCTTAGCAAGTTCATTCACCCTCTCTTCCTCAATGCCTATAGTTAGTAGATCGCTTTTGTCATAATTGATTTTCATGCCAGTCATTTTCTCGTAACACATTAATAACCATTTGAGATTATTGGCCTTATCTAAATCATCCTCCAGAAATATTGC